CCCGTGCCCGTCCCGGTGCCCGTGGTGGCCGTGCCGGGCCCGGGGGTGTCGGCGGCGCTGCCCAACGGGGCCCCCCCGGGCCCCCCCCCCGCCCATGGCCGACGACAGCAAAACCAACCTGATCGTCAACTACCTGCCCCAGTCCATGAGCCAGGAGGAGCTGAGGAGCCTCTTCGGCAGCCTCGGGGACATCGAGTCCTGCAAGCTCGTCCGGGACAAGGTCACCGGTACGGACGGGGATGGGGGACACGGGGGACATGGGGGACACGGGGGACAGGGGACAGGGGGGACACAGACACGGGATGGGGGGGACAGGGGGAAAGGGATACAGGACATGAGGGAACATGGGAAGGTGGGACATGGGACACAGGACACAGGGACATGGGGGAGATGGAGCTGGGACAGGGGGACGGGACACAGGATGGGAGATGTGGGGAGCCAGGACACGGACAGGTGGGACACGGGAAGGGGGAACACGGGATGGGGGACAGGGCATGTGGATGTGGGATGGGGGGACAGGACATGGGGATGAGGCAGGTGGGACATGGACACGGGGACACAGGAGAGATGGGACATGGGACACAGAATGGGGGATGTGGGGAGTCAGGACGTGGACAGGTGGGACATGGGGAGAGGGGACGTGGACATGGGATCCCAGGGATGTGGGGGGACAGGACACAAGGACAGGGGAAGGTGGGACATGGGGGGGTGGGACACAGGAAGGGAGGACGTGGGACAAGGGGCACAGGACACAGGGACGTGGGGAGATGGGAAACAGGCACGTGGGAAAAGGGACATGGGACGTAGGGAGATGGGACCCAGGGATATGGGACCCAGGGATATGGGACACAGGGATATGGGACACAGGGAGATGGGACCCAGGGATATGGGACCCAGGGATATGGGACACAGGGATATGGGCAGGTGGGACAAGGGACCTGTGGGGACAGGGACAAGGGACTGTGGCTGTGGGGACGCGGATCTTGGGCACAGGAGTGGGGGACAGGGGTGGAGACAAGGGGGACAGGGTTTGGGGCCAGGGCCAGGCCTGGGCACACGGGGGGGCCATGGGGACAGGGCCCCCCCTGGTGACAGTGGCCCCCCCAGGGCAGAGCCTGGGCTACGGCTTCGTCAACTACGTGGAGGCCGGAGACGCCGACAGGGCCATCGGGGCCCTCAACGGCCTCAAGCTGCAGACCAAGACCATCAAGGTGCCCTGGGGGCACGGGGGTGGGCACGGGGGGGCACCTGGGGGGGCACCTGGGGGGCTACGAGGGTCCTTCAGGGTTGGGGGGCACCTGGGGGTCCTTTGGTGGGGAGGTACCTGGGCTTCCTTCAGGGGGCCCTTCAGGGTTGGGGAGGGCACTTGGGGGTCCTTTGGGGTGGGGGGGTCACCTGGAGGCCCTCAGAGCTGGGGAGGGGGCACCCGAGGGTCCTTTGGGGTGAGTGGGGCACCTGGGGGTCACTCCCATGGGAAGGGCGGATCCCCGGGTCGCTGGGGGGGACACACCTCTGGGCAGGTGACACCCCCCTGGGCAGGTGACACGGCTGTCACCGGGGAGGGGGGGGGTCCCGAGGGCTCACCTGCCCCCCCCAGGTGTCCTATGCCCGGCCCAGCTCCGCCTCCATCCGCGATGCCAACCTGTACGTGAGCGGGCTGCCCAAGGCCATGGGGCAGAAGGAGATGGAGCAGCTCTTCTCCCAGTACGGCCGGATCATCACCTCCAGGATCCTCGTTGACCAGGTCACAGGTGAGCCCAGGTGTGCCCAGGTGTGCCCAGCCCACCTGGGAGGGTGGGATGGCCCCGGGAATGGGGGTCCTGGGGGCCCTTGGGGTCCTGGAGGCCCTTGGGGTCCTGGAGGGGCTGGGATACCCCTGGGAACAGGGGTGCTGGGGGTCCTGGGGGGTGGGACATCCCTGGGAACAGGTTCTGGGGGTCTTAGGGATCCTGAGGATGGTTGGATATTCCTGGGAATGGGGGTCCTGGGGGTTCTGGAGTGGGTGGGGCCCTAATGGGGTGGGACACCCCTGGGAACAGGGGCCTGGGGGGTCCTGGGGGGGTCCTGGGCTGTGGGAACAGGAACCCTGGGGGTCCTGGGGGTCCTGAGGGTGTGGAGGGAGTATCACCCAGAGATCCCAGTCGGTTCCACGGGTGGGCAGGAACGTTCCCGGGGTGCCGTGGGGTAGGAAGTGGGACCCAGGAGGGGCATGTCCCTCTGACCCCCCCTCACCTGTGCAGGTGTGTCCCGGGGGGTGGGCAGTGGGACCCGGGGGGGGTGTATCTCACTGACCCCCCTCACCTGTGCAGGTGTGTCGCGGGGCGTGGGCTTCATCCGCTTCGACAAGCGTGTGGAGGCGGAGGAGGCCGTGCGGGGGCTGCACGGGCAGAAGCCCCTGGGGGCGGCCGAGCCCATCACGGTGAAGTTCGCCAACACCCCCGGGCAGAAGTCGGGGGGGG